AGCAAAATTTCCCCCTCCTAGTAAGGTCGCGTGGGATGGTGAGCAGATGTCTCCCCTTCATACACAATTTCGTGCCACCGCCTCTGTATTGGTAATTTATTAAGTATCTTTATTGTAAAATATATACACCGTTTCATAAACAAACGATCCCGATTGAAGGTCGTGTATGTTGTGATGTCACCAATTCGTGTGTAGGTACGTCTTCAAGAATAATAGTAGACCATTTCTCGTTCACTGCGAGGTCCCGCGTTAAGTGTGAAATCGAACGTAATAACAGGACAAACAAAGGTCATAGCGCCGTGGTGGCGTCAAACATCGCGTGTTATTCGACAAACGCGACAGAGTTTTGGGGATATTTCCATGCCTAATAATGTTTGTACACATTTGATGATGGTCAATTTCGATGAAGTAAGAGTATCTATTATAAACGTAATAATTCCCTGTCAAAGATCGGCCGTTCGAATTTGAGCTATGAGAAAAGAAATTAGATTTCAAAATGAAATCGTTCGATTTTTGCGACAGATTTTCGTTTTGCATCATTCACGCAATACGCGAAATCTCGCGGAAAACTACCTATTGTGCCCCATTGAGCTCTTTTCTCCGCGTTTTATTTGGAACGCGACGTTTGGGGCATACCTAAATTACGCCAATAGTGGTATAAGCCCCTAACGTATACACATCCGTAACCTTGTCCTAGTCAGGGTAATTCGGGTAATGTGCAGCGCCCGTGAGCTACTGATAACACACTCACCGTTCTTTCAAGCCAGTGGTAGTAGCAATCTCTTCGGATGTTTTAGGTTCCTTCATGTTCGACATCGTTTCAATCAAACCCGTAGTGGAACCGATGGCTATACCTACACTAATAAAACCTGAATTAACGTGGTTGATCAGTTTCTCGGTGAAACTGTCGCGAGTCTCTTCTTTAGACGATGTGGCCATCTTGAATCATGCACTATTGATATATGCTGAGTATAATTATAAATGGCAGCTGGATCCCTGACTACTAAAAGATGCCTTTATGACCTTTGAAAACAGCCTTGTATGACCTTTGAACTAAATCGTATTACTGTAAACGCGGAGAAGCTTTCATTTGAATGTAGTGTTCTTTCTGACTATCCATATGAACATTTATTGAATATTTACTGATTTTTTCGACGCAATCTTGGCAAAAATACAATGCCAATGATGGTGTGCAATTTGCATTTCAGTTCGGGCAACCAAGAAATGCATTCTCTAAATTAGAAAGGGTACATACGTATTTTATAAATGATGACAATAATTTCAACAACCACTTGAAAGACTTTGCCGATTGCAGGGGTTGACGATATTTTATGTTAGACTGCAGATGTGCCTTATTTATTTCGGTTTAAAAGTAAAAATAATACAAATATTAAATAAATATTTAATATAATTGCAATATTGAGCATTATATTTTAACATATTTAATATTACGTTTCCTTCATATCACGCATTAGATATCGCATTGTGTAAAATACCATACTTTTAAATTACTGTTATTTGTTTCTCGATTGATATATCTTGAAAAGACTGTGGTAGTTTGATTAAACCCGAGATGCGGATTATCTTTCGTAAAGTAAAAAAGGCCAACTTCAAGGCGTGGTTCAAAGATGGCAATATTCTGTGGCAGACATTTATCTTGAATGATGTATCGCCTATACCTAACTTTGTCGTGAATCAATGTAGTATTTTGATTAAACACAAGATCGCGCTTTCTTTTAAAATGTTAATTTTTT